TATACGTATATACATATTATATATATAGAATAATATATATATATATATACATATATATATATATATATTGTGCACTGAGCTCTAAACCAATACAGTACAGGGTCCTTCACCTGAATACTTTATTGCATTTTCGTTTTTGTTGGGGTGGGGGGCGGGGGGTAGTGCAGTCCAATACGCTGTAGCTATCATCGGATACTGATACCAAATATATCTGCTTTTCCCTGAACTGGCTCAAGCCCCGTATCCCTGGTGGCCGGGGCACAGCCCAACTCTGCATGTCAGCTGTCACCCCACTGGCGAGACACTCAAGCAGCAAGGCCAGCATGGTTTCCCAGCGAGAAATGCCAGAGGAAGCCAGGATCGCCTCAGGAGGAAGGTTCGGGTGCTCCATGCCAAACTCCATGAGAAACTTTCGCGCGACCCTAATGTCCAAAACTCATTCTCTGCTCACCGACCCTCCTGCGCCAAAACTTACTGAACCCTAAACTCGAAGCTGTTCGGTACGAGCTTCGCGCGTGGAGTTCAGGGCTTCCCTGAATTCTTACACCTAAACCACGAAGACTAGAAGTAAGGGTCTCTGTCCCAGGCTCTAAACTTCTCTAAACCTTCATGCAAGCTAGACTCTAGACACTGCAAGCCCAAAGCCCTAGGCACGAATTAAATCATGTCACTGAGTTCAAAAGCGCATGCTTTGCAAACCTAGGTTGCATGGAGCACGCTTGTGGAAGCGATCCTTTTCACTGCCCTTTTTCCCTCACTGCAGTGGGGGCTTAGGGTTCAGGGTGAAAGAATAATGTAGGGGCCCGTATAATTAAAACAAGGTTTTGGGGGTATGCTATACTATAATTATAAGGAGCCCCCAAAATACTATAGGTATTTGTTTAGGCCCTTATATTGCTTGCGACTGGAACCAACACCACAGAGTCCCTACAAACAAAGCTCTGACAGTGCCACGCCCCAAGTCGCAAGCAAACTACGACCCGGTTGAGGGTTCTGGGTTCTAAGCTTTACGGTTGTAGGACCCCTAAACCCTTGAACCCTAAACCCTTAAACCCTAAACCCTAAAACCCCTAAACCCTTAAACCCTAAACCCCTAAACCCTAAAACCCTAACCCCTATATTAGCACTGAAGGGTCTTAGGGGCCTAAGGGATTCCTCCAAGCGGCGCTGTTGTAGGCGATGGCGTCCGGCCTTGCCAGGGAGCCCCTCATCTCCGCTAGCAGAGCAAGCGCGTGGAGCCTCAGCTCCCCAGTCTCCCCCGTTAAAAAAAGGAGGAACAGAAGAACCTTACAAAAAGGAGGAACAGAAGAACCTTAAAAAAAGGAGGAACAGAAGAACTATATGCTAGCCCCCCCCCCCAATTGACCAACTCTGAATACTAATACTTTCACTGACTCACGAATGTGAATACTCATAAAAGTATTACCAGTAAAGCTACTATTGGTATTAATATCAGTAATATTTTAATGCGAATATTAGCATTAATAGCAAAACTAATTCTAGTGTGAATACGAATGACCCTACGGCTACTTACAATCGTATTCTTATTAGCAAGATTAATATCCATAAACAATATGCATACTAATGCCTGTACCAATTCGGGTACATATAATAATGCATGTACTACTCCTGCGAGTAAAGATATTCTTACTCTTATTATGATTAATATTCATACATTAAAACTTCGTACTCGTATTACTGTTAGTATGTATTTTAATGTTAGCACTAGTTCTTACTAACATTTATTTCCAGACTGATATTACTCCTACGAATAAACGTGTTTGTAATCATATCAATATTGATCTCAATACTAATATTAAAAACAAATATTACTAATACTTACACGAATACTGGGTTTAATGAATACTGATACTCTCACGATTACTTATACTCATGTGAATGTTAATAGTTAATACTATAAA